GACACCTTCCCTGCCTGCCCCACTTAAAGTAGCTTCCTTTCTCTGGCCCCAGCACTCTCTATTATATCATCTGTCTTCTTTTTCACTTACTACTATCTAAAATTATTTTGTATATGTATCTATTTTCTTGTATATTATTGATCTCTACTACTAGATTATCAAATGAATGAATGAATTTAAGGTTGGGGAAGAGGGCCTAGAGCCATGAATCTCAGATGGGTCCACGACTACCCTAATAGCCTCTCATGTCTGGGTTGTGATCCCATGTTGAAGGAAGAAACTTTGGCCAACATGTATTGGACAACCCCTCTATACTAACGCTGTCACTCCCTACTCCCCTTCAGTAGCTCACCATCCAGCAGAGGCAGCAGTCATGCAAACCAAAAACTCCAGCAGAATGTTCCAGGTGCTGTTATTTAAAATATTCCTATGGGGCAGTGTATGGCCCAGGCTTTGCAGCCAGATGTATTGGTGTCGGACCCTAACTCTTTTACTTACTAGTTGAGCGATACCAGACAGGTGAGATTACATTGCTGAGACTCTCTTTTCTAACCTGAACATTTAGGCTATTAATTCTTACCTTGCAGAGCTACTCAGACACTTAGAGTGCCTCTGAGTTGCCTTTCAGCACCAGGAACCAGTGAATGGTAGCTGTCGTTACACAAAGGGTGGGTTGGGTGATGCCGGCCCGGGGTCAGAGGGTCCCAAGAGGCTCTGTAGCAACCGGTGTCTGAGCTGAGCCGAACTAAGGTTGGCCGTGGGTCCAGGGGATCCAGGGGAGCCCCAGAGCAGCAATAGGCACAAAGGGCCGAGCAGGGCTGCTGGACCCTGGGCAGTGGTCAGGGTTCTGGACTGCCATCAGAGGACACCAGTTTTTCTGGGGAGAAACCAATGCAAGAAAAGGCAAACCATTGTTCAGATGCTCAAGACAAAAACGCCAGAGTCACTTTGAGATTTTCCCTTTCAGGAGCCCGTGTTTGTTCCCCGTGCAGGATACACAGAATCTGCCTGCTTCCCACCACAGCCGCTTCGGCTGACTCCGCCACTGGTGTTGCCCCCGGAGCCGCTGAGCAGCTCTTGATTTCTGCTGCCCATTCTCCCCTACACAAGTAGAGGGCCCTTCAGAACACAAGCGAGGCCTGCAGTTCCTCTGCTCAGAGCCCACAGGGGCCACCCATCGTGTCCCATGTGGAACACAAGCCACTTCCCGGGGTGACCGGCAGACCCAATGCTATGCCCCCCGTCCCACTGTTCTCGCCTCTTCCGCCTCCCTCTGTCCAGCCACTTGCCTCATTGTCCACCTTCGGAACACCCTGGGCCTCTCTGTCCCCTCTGCTGGAGCCACCACTGCCCACTCTGCCCCCCAGTCCCCGTGGCCACCTGGCTGCTTCCTCAGCCCCTTAGTCCCCATTCCATGTGTCTTCATAAGCAAGGCCTTACTGGCCACCCTGTCACCTGTGCACTCATGCTTGCTTTTCCTCCTTTTAACACGCTCTGTGTTGGCTCAGCATTCGCACCTTGAGGGCAGTGACTTTATCTGATGTGCCCACTCGTGTGTCCCTCATGCCCCGAATAGTGTCTGGCACAGATCCAACACTCAGTGTTCAAATGAATAAAAGAAAGAAAGACAGAAGGGGGAGAAGTGGGAGGCTTGGGGCTGTTTCGGGCCTGCCAGGTGGAGGCAGACTGGGCAGTGGAAAACCTGGGCACGGCTGTTAGGAGGAGATGAGGGACTGGGGGGGGTGCAGACTGATGAGGGCTCAGAGGAGGAGACCAGGCCGGGAGGTGCAGAGGGGAGCACTGTGTGCCAGCCAACTCCAATGGGACTCAAACCACAGAACACTGGGCAGAGGGCAAAGGGGAAGCATGGACAGCCTCCCCTGGCTGCTCCCAGCCCTTCATGCCAGGGCCCACTTCTCTTCCATGCAGAGAGCAGTGGCTGTGCTGACAGGAGCCCTTCTGCCCTGCTCCCTCTCCACCAGGCATGGGAGCAGCCCTTCTCCCTGGGGGCACCTGAAAGAGGAAAGGAGGTCCAGCCAGCATCTCTGGGAAAGCCAAAAGACACACACAGCACCAGTCCATCCTCCAGGTTTGGCTCCTTTGCTCCCAGCTGCCAAAACAGGGGCAGACTACCTCCAGCTGCTCAGCTTTTTGCCTGGGTACGAGCTGAGCCGGGAAGAATTTAGCCAAGAAGTAATTGTGATGTGATCATGAATATTAATTGCTTGCTTAGAAGGTGCTACGCTTTGGGGTTAACTGTACTCCAGTGCCTCTATTTACCCCCTCGGTATTTCTACCCAGAGGGGCCATTCGCACCCGGGCCCTGCAGACACATGCCCTGAGATTTAGGCCCGGTAACTGCCGCTGCCAGTTACCACCAGCCGTGGATGGTGGGTTGGGCAGGAGCTGTCAGTGGTCCTAGGCACATCTGATTCTTGAGTGCACGTCGGCTGGGTTATTCCCTGTGCTTTTCCGAGGGACCCGGTAGAGGCCTGGACATTCCCTCTGCCAGTGCCACTTAAACTTCAGCAGGCATGAGAATCGCAGATTCCTGGGGTCCCCCTGCAGAGACACTGGTTCAGCAGGTGCAGGGAGGCCCGATCCTGCATTTCTGGCCCCCTCCCAGCTCCCGGGGCTGCTGCCCACTGCTGTCTGTGCACCTTCACCAGGCACAGCCTATTCTCAGGCAGGACTACCCACTTGCCTGACATTTGATTACTGCTGCCCGGCGCACGTCCACCTTTAGACATGTACTATCATTATACTTAATAGCAGGCTTGGCATAGATCAAGAGCACTGTTTGCAAGTCGGTGGTGATCACTTCCCAGTATACACATGAATTGAATCATTCATTATATCATACAACTGAAATTAATAGGGAGCTATCAAATTTTTTTTAAAAAAGGGGGAAAAAAGTCACATCACAAGACGTGTCTAAAAGGTGAGCCAAGCTACCTAAAACTTTTTGTTTGGTTTTGTGTTCATCAGAATGGAATTGCCAGGTTTTTTTTCCTTTAAAAAAGAGTAATAATTTTTTTCCTCCCCCCAGTGACTAGAAACCCACTGGAGGCCATTTGTTTGTTGAAGGTATTTCCTTTATTGTTTTTATTTTATTTTATTGAAGTGTAGTTGACATTAGTTTTGGGTGCACAACATAAGGATTTGACATTTATACGCATTATGAAGTGATTACCATGATGAATCTAGCTACCATCTATCACCACACAGAGTTGTTGTGATATTACTAACTGTATTCCCTGTGCATGCCCATGTTTTATTTATTTTATAATTGGAAGTTTGTACCTTTTAATCTCCTGCCATGATTTTAACCATTCCCTACTTCCCTTCCCTCTGGCAGCCACCAGATTGCTTCCTGTATCTATGAGTCCATTTCTGTTTTGTTTTTCAGATTCCACAACTAAGTGAAATCATATAGTATTTGTCTTTGTCTGATTTATTTACCATAATACCATCTAGGTCCATCCATGTTGTTGCAAATGGCAAGATTGTATCCTTCTTCTATGGCTGGATAATATTTCTATGTGTGTGTGTGTGTGTGTGTGTGTGTGTACACGTATGCACCATGTCTATATCCATTCATCTACAGTGCACACTGGGGCTGCTTCCGTATCTTGGCTACTGTAAAAAAAAAACTGTTACAATAAACATAGGGGCAAATGTGTCTTTTGGAATTAGTATTTTTGCTTTCTTCAGAAGAACACCCAAAAGTGGAATTCCTGGATCAGAGGGTATCTCTATTTTTAATTATTTGAGGAAACTTCATACTGTTTTCCACAGTGGCTACACCAGTTTGCATTCCCACCAACAGTGCACAAGGATTTCCCTTTCTCTACATCCTCATTAACACTATGTTATTTCTTATCTTTTTGGAAGTAGCCCTTCTGACATGTGTGAGATGGTATCTCACTGTGCTTCTGATTTGCATTTCCCTGATGATGAGTGACATTGAGCATCTTTCTGTGTGTCTGCTGGCCATCTGGACGTCTTCTTGGGAGAAACACTTCTTTGTGTCCTTTGCCCATTTTTTAAATTGGATTGTTTGTTGTTTTGATGCCAAGTTGTACAAGTTATTTATATACTTGGGGTATTAATCCTTTGTCAGACATATGATTGGAAAGATCAGCTACCATTTGGTGGGTTGCCTTTTTGTTTTGTGGTTGGTTTCCTCCACTGTGCAAAACCTAAAGCTTCTTACCCTGTTCTGAGCACTAAGCCTGATGTCCATTGCACAGCAGCTACTCGGAAGACATTAATTTGTCCCTCCCCACCCCTTGGTCTCTAATATTCTCAGGGTAGGGGGTGCAGTCTCCCAAGGGGCAGGGCATCCAGTCATGGAAGCAGGAAGACACCATGTAAACAGGAGGCCATGGGGCATGCCAATTTGCTATACTCATAAGGTCTATGGCTCCCAGTCCAGGCTCTGAAGAAAACTGCTGTGCCTATACTGGGTTATTTTTTCTGTGTAGACTACTCAGGGTGGTCGAAAGTCTCCCCCAGAAAATCCTTTCCCAGATCATAGTCTGGGTTTGGCATTCCTGCAGAATGTGTAAGTGACATCATAGCTCTTTCAGGCCTGGAAGGAAGAGTAAATTTTTTTAGGGAAATTAAAAAAGAAGAAGGAGAAGGAGAAGGAGAAGAAGGAGGGGGGGAGGGGGGACGGGGGGAGGGGGGGAGAGGGAGAGGGAGAGAGGGAGAAGTAGAAGGAGAAGGAGAAGAAGAAGAAGAAGAAAAAAACTGATTATAGGCCTTGGCAAGACTTGGAATCAGCTCTTTGAGGCAGAGGAAGGAAAATGAGGAATCCTAAGCATGTTTTCTGCTCTTAATCTCAGAACAGCTTTCCCCTTGGCCTCTCTGTCTCACTGAATCTGTGTGGTGGTCTGCCCAGGGCTCTGCTACCAAAGGAGTCGCGTTTAGTGGCAGATCTGCAAGAAAGTGCTGCTGTCTCCACGTGTGACAACTGAAGGGCTGGTCCCCTGCAGGTCAACCACATTGTGTCTGGAAGTAAACTGCAAGAGAAGTGGACAGTCCCACACTCTCGGGAGCTGTTCAAGTTAGCCAGCGCTCTCCTCTCATCTACATATGGTACTGGAAACAGACAAGATGGCCAGGAGAGTCCCATGCGCCAAGTTCACCAGCTGGTCCAGACCATTCCATGGAGTATGACGTGTGCAAGCATGGCGCGGCCAAGTGGGTGTGGTTGGTGTGCCTCCTGGCAGCACCTCCCTCCGGGGCCAGGGACAACGGGACCCCAGCCAGTGCTTTCTGGGAGCCAGCAGCCAGGCATCTGAGCTGTAGATTTCACAGATCTGGGCCAAATCCTGTTTGCCTGGTGATCTGACAGCTCTGTCAGGTTGGCCCAACCTTAAAATACCTACTTTAGTCTCCACTGAATTTTCCTCCCATGTTAATATATATTTTTATTACCTTCCAATTGGCCTTTCTTTGATGTTTTCATACTTTCTAATTTTTATTAGAAAGTAATGAAGCCAAATCACCCAAATTTTGTTTTGGAAATTTAGAATTTTTAATTTAAATTTTAGTTCATGAACATGCAGTGCTATATTGGTTTCTGGGGTAGAATTCAATGATTCGTCACTACATACAACACCCGGTGCTCATCACAACAAGTGCTCTACTTACGCCCATCGCCCATCTAGCCCATCCCCGCTCATCTCCTTCCATCACCCCTCAGTTTGTTCTCTGTCGTTAAGAGTCTCTTATGGCTTGTTTCCCTCTCTTTTTTCTTTTTCCCCTTCCCATATGTTCATCTGTTTTCTTTCTTAAATTCCACATATGAGTGAGATCACGTGGTATTTGTCTTTCTCTGACTTAGTTCACTTAGCATAATACACTCTCGTTCCATCCACATCGTTGCAAATGGTAAGATTTCCTTCTTTCGATGGCTGGTATTCCATTGTGTATATATACCACATAGGTATCCATTCCTCCATCGATGGGCATTTGGGCTCTCTCCATAGTTTGGCTGTTGTTGATAATGCTGCTGTAAATGTCGGGGTGCATGTACCCCTTCAAATCTATACTTTTATATTCTTTCAGTAAATACCTACTTGTGCAATTGTTGGATCATAGGGTGGTTCTACTTTTAACTTTCTGAGTACCCTCCATACTGTTTTCCAGAGTGGCTGCACCAGTTTGCATTCCCACCTACAGTGCACAAGGGTTTCCTTTCTCTGCGTCCTCACCAACACCTGTTATTTCTTGTGATGTTAATTTTAACCATTCTCACAGGTGTGAGGTGGTATCTCACTGTGGTTTTGATTTGCATTTCCCTGATGCTGAGTGATATTGAGCATCTTTTCATGTGTCTGTTGACCATCTGGATGTCTTCTTTGGAAAAATGTCTATTCTTTTGGGTGTTGAGTTTGGTTAAGTTCTTTATAGCTTTTGGATACAGAACTTAGAATTTTTTTTTTAATAACTCTGTTACTGCTACCATAACAGAGCATTTTAATACATTTTCTTTTGGTTCTTAGTTTTTGTTTCATTTTATTCTTCGGTCACTTAAGCGGTATATGTCAGTTTTCTTTGAAAACATGTGTTTACTTTTTCTTTTTCACCAGTCCCCCAAAAATGTCAGAAAAGAAACTTTTGCTTAAAGGCTTCAGACCTTTTGGTTACTTATCTCTTTCTCACTTCCAACCTTTTTTCCAGTGAAATGGAAATTCAAACATTACTTTTGAGTTTAAGGAATTTTCTCCCTGATTCTTGGCTTCATGCCAAAAGAATAAGCCCCTGGACCTTCTGAAACTTTATGCTGAGGGACTTTCTGTCCCCTTCTTTGTACTCCCATGCAGCTTTGCCACCCAAGATGTTTTGGTTCCACTAGCTTGGATTTTTGTCGCCTGAGAGGAGTCCCTTTCTTCCCGGGGTGGTCTGGAAGGGAATTCTATGAGGAGCCAGTTAACATATACCAGTGCAGCCATCCCAGTGCCCACCTACAGCTGGCCCTTGGCCAACACCTGCTTTTAAAAAACAGTCCCACATCACCAGCACCAATGGGCCTCGGAAGCTTTGAATCACCCAACCAGGCCACAGGAAAGTAGAGAGGGCTCCTGGACCCACCGTAGCCCCTGCTGTTGTCAGTGGGAGCCTGAAAGCTATAGGCCCTTGGGCAGAAGCCCTCAGCTTTCTCATTAGGTGACCTCTCCCTCCACCATGTGGACCAGGGTGGGGGGCCAGGGCAAACAGTAGGCCATGAAGGAAGGCAGGAAGGAGCCGAGTGTTCAATTATGGGGAGTGACACCAGCAGTAGGAGGCACAGGGCCCGGACAAAGTCCAGTCCTGGTCTGCGGGGCTTTCTGTCCATCTGCTGCTGAAAGCTGCTGGCCTGACAAAAAATGATGATCACAAGTTTGGCCTCTGAGCTAGAGTTTGCATTTGGATACCCTCTCTTCCCAATACATAGTTCTGATCCCAGGCAAGTCATGTTTGCACAGGCACATGAGGGATCTAGAGTAAGGACTATACATCATCCTGGGAGCTGGCAGAGAAGGCTCTGCCCTCAGCATGGGACCGGAGATCTCCCTAAATCTGATAAACAGTTAGGAGGAAAAGCTGATGGGAAGTCACAGGGATCAAAGGTGAGCTGGGGTGGACCCAAGAGGCACCTGACCAGGGCCAGCAGCAGCTGAACATGGAGGGCCAGTGGGAGCTGGAGGCTGCAGGCCTGGGGGCAGCCACGTGCCCTCCAGGAGAGACAGCAGCTGGGCGCTGCACATACACGCTGCCACAGTGCCTGGCACCCTGCTCCAATCTGTAGAGCATGAGAAATGGCTGCTCCTTTCTTTCCACTTCACATCCCCAGCACATTCCTCTTGTGACCAATCTTAAACAGAATCCTACGGAGAAAGGAATTCTGGGAAACAGTTTTGGCATAGCTAAGTTGACAATAACACAAAGCCCTAAAGGTTGGTTATGAGATAAAGTCAATAAAATATAGGGAAAGGATTTATTTTTAAGGTTTTTTTTTCTAGTTTTATTGAGATATAATTGACAGCAGTCTCTAACTTTAAAGTGTACAGCATAATTATCCGACCAACATGTACTGTGACATGATTGCCGCAGGAAGTTTAGGGACCACCAGTTATTTCATATAGTTACCAAAAAAAGTTCTTCCTTTTTTGAGAGTTCTTTGGATTTACATTTAATGACTTTCAAACATACCATATAGCAATGTTAACTGTCATGTTGTATGTTATATCCTTAGTATTTATCTTATAATAGCAAGTTTATCCTTTTTGACTGGTTTCATCCAATTCCCACACCTCCCACCCAACCTCTGATATCCACAAATCTGATCTTTTTCTCTATGAGCTTGCTCTTCTTTAAATTCCACATATAGATGAGATCACATGGTATTTGTCTCTCTTTGTCTGAGTTACTTCAGATAACATAATACCCTTAGGATTTATCAGTGTCATTGCAAATGGTGGGACTTCCTTCTTGTTAATGGCTCAGTAATATTCTACCGTGTGTATTTGCCACAGCTTCTTTACTCACTGGTGGACACTTAGGTTGTTTCCATGTCTCAGCTGTTGTAAATAACACATGTAAATATCACATATCTCTGACAGGGATTTTTTGTTTCCTTTGGATATATATCCAGAAGTGGAGGTGTTGGATCATATGGTAATTCTAGTTTTAATTTTTTGAGGAGCCACCAGACCATTTTCCATAGTGGCTGCACCAATTTATAATCCCACCAAAAGTACGTAAGGGCTTCTTTTTCTCCACATCTTTGCCAGCATTTGTTATCTCTTGTCTTTTGGTGATGGGCATTCTCATAAGTGTGAGGTGATACCTCATTGCTGATTTGATTTGCATTTTCCCATTGATTAGTGATGTTAAGTACTTTTCATGTACCTGTTAGCCATTTGTATACCTTCTTGGAAAAATTACTACTCAGATCCTTTTTAAAAGATTTTTAAAGATTTTATTTATTTATTTGAGATAGAGGGAGCACAAGCAGGGGGAGGAATAGAGGGAGAGGAAAAAGCAGACTCCTCACTGAGTACAGAGCCTCAAATGGGGCTGGATCCCACGATACAGAGATCATGACCTGAGCCAAGATCAAGAGTCAGATGCTTAACTGTCTGAGCCACCCAGGCATCCTCTTTATCCATTTTTAAGTTGGATTATTGACTTTTTGCTATTTAGTAATAAGTTCTTTATATATCTATGTAATATTTTATATAATAATGTATAAATATTTTATATTTTACATAAAAACAATATACATAATATGTAAGCAGTCAGATACATGGTTTTCAATTTTTTTTCCCATTCCATAGGAGTTCTTTTCATTTTGTTGATTTTTTTTCTGCAAAGACCCTTTTTAGTTTGATATAATCCCACTTGCTTATTTTTTATTTTGTTGCTTGTGCTTTAGTGATCATATCCAAAATTTCAGGGCCAAAACCCTTGTCAAGGAGGTTTTTTACCCATATGTTTTCATCTAGGAGTTTTATGGTTTCTAATTTTACATTTAAGTCTTTGATCCATTCTGAGTTACTTTTGTGAGTGGTAAAATAAGAGTCTAATGTCTTTTTTTTTAATTAACATATGATGTGTCGTTTGTTTCAGGGATAGAGATCTGTGATTCATCAGTCTTACACAATTCACAGTACTCACCATAGCACATACCCTCCCCAGTGTCCATCACCCAGCACCCCATCCCTCTCACCCCCCACCACTCCAGCAAACCTGAGTTTGTTTCCTGAGATTGAGTCTCTCCTGATTTGTCTCCATCTCTGGTTTCATCTTGTTTCATTTTTCCCTCCCTTCCCCTATGATCTTCTGTCTTGTTTCTCAAATTCCTCATATCAATGAGATCATATGATAATTGTCTTTCACTGATTGACTTGTTTCATTTAGAATAATATCCTTTAGTTCCAGCCACATTGTTGCAAATGGCAAGATTTCTTTTTTGATGGCTGCATAATATTCCATTGTATAATTATACCACATTTTCTTTATCCATTCACCTGTTGATGGACACCTGTTGATGGCTCTTTCCATAGTTTGGCTATTGTGGACATTGCTGCTATAAACATTCGGGTGCACATGTCCCTTCGGATCACTACATTTGTTTCTTTAGGGTAAATACCCAGTAGTGCGATTGCTGGGTCATAGGATAGCTCTATTTTCAACTTTTTGAGGAACTTCCATGCTGTTTTCCAGAGTGGCTGCACTAGGTTGCATTCCTACCAACAGTGTAGGAGGGTTCCCCTTTCTCTGCATCCTCATCGACATTTGTTATTTCCTGACT